GTAAGTCTTAACACTGACCTTCAAGCTGTTGCTGTCGTCGTCGACCTTGGGTCGCTGAGGCTGACTGTCTGTTCTATCTGCCTCCCTCCTGCTGAGGAAGTACCGGATTCGACACTACAGTCCATCTTCGATCAGCTTCCATCGCCGTTCTTGTTGCTAGGTGACTTCAACTCCCATAGCCCTTTGTGGGGCTGCAGTCACACAAGCCGCCGAGGCCGACATCTTGAGCGTTTGCTGAATACAAATAATCTTTGTGTTGTTAACACCGGCCGGCATACCCATATATCTCTGCCGTCCAGCACTACTTCAGCGATAGATCTTTCTATCTGCTCCTCGTCCTTTTTCTGTCGGTTGTTTTGGTTCGTTGAGAGCACTACATATGGGAGCGACCATTTCCCAATATGGCTTGGGATGAATGTTGAACACCCAGGCAGGAGGCCTTCCTGCTGGAACCTTCGACGTGCTAACTGGCAAAAGTTTACCGACGAGTGCCATATTAGAGTGCAGCCGACCGAGGACGACAATGCAACGTCTCTTGCACAACAAGTGACATCCACAATTACCGACACTGCAAGGTCTTGCATTCCCTTGACATCACCTGAGCCGCGCAGGATCCCTGTTCCCTGGTGGTCAGAGGACTGCAAGGCGGCAATTCTTGAGCGGAAGCGGGCGTTCAAGGTATTTAAGCGTTCTGCAACGACCAACAACCTCATGGGTTTTAAAAAGGCCAGAGCATTGGCGAAACGCACAATACGTGAGGCAAGGCGTACATCATGGAGGGAATATGTAAATGGTTTAAATCGTCACACCCCACTGAGTGCAGTGTGGCAGCGAGTTAGTCGCATTTCCAGTAGGAGCGTCTCCACTGCAGTTCCGGTGTTGAGAGTGGCAGGAATCACGATATTGAACACACAGGAAGTTTCCAACAATATAGGTCTCGCATTTGCAGAAAGGTGCCGACATGGAACAGACGACCCACGCTTTATTCGTTACGAGGAACAAAGTGAGAAGACGGCGATCAATTTTAGAATTCCTGACTCAGAGATCTATGAGTACAACCAACCGTTCACTGTCATGGAGCTCTGCACTGCTCTTAAGAGAGCTAAGAGTGTGTCGCCTGGATTGGATTAAGTCCACAATGATATGTTGGATCACCTAAAGAAGGAGTCCCTCCATGCTTTACTTTTCAACTACATATGGTTGCAAGATGACTTCCCAGAGCCGTGGCGGGAGGCCATTATAGTCCCGATACAGAAGCCCGGAAAGGATAGTTCCGACCCACTGCACTACCGCCCAATTTCGCTGACTTCATCCCTATGCAAAGTGCTAGAGAGGATGGTGAATGATCGTCTCATGTGGTACCTTGAAACCCACGATTGTCCTTTCCAAAGTGCAATGCGGGTTTCGGAAGAACCTATGCACTGTTGACCACCTAACGATCTTAGACACAGCTATACGACATCCTTTTAAACAAAGACGTCACACGATAGCAGTCTTCTTTGCCATTGAGCGGGCTTATGATACCACCTGGCGCTACGGCATTCTTAGCAAAGTACACAAGTGTGGACTCCGAGGTCACATGGCACTCTTCATTGAAAACTTTTTACGTCGTCGATTCTTCCGTGTCCGAGTGGGTGGCATGCTATCTGATCGCTATGAACAAGAGAACGGTGTTCCTCAAGGGAGCGTGCTTAGCGTAACCCTGTTTGCGCTGATGATCGATGATATCGCCGACTGTCTGCCACCTACCATCAGTCGGTCACTGTTTGTGGACGACTTTGCCATCTGGTGTGCGGCATCCGCAACGACGTCTGCTGAGAGGCAGCTTCAGTTATGCCTGATTCGACTAACTGAGTGGAGCCTTAAGAATGGCTTCAAATTTTCGACCACCAAGACTAAGTGCATGCACTTCTGCTCACGGATTCGAGGCTGTAGAGACCCGGGGTTGCGACTGTATAATGCCACTATCCCAGTTTGTAACGACATTTGTTTCCTGGGCCTCACGTTTGACCGTCGGCTCACGTTTAAGCAACACTTTAAGATGGTTAAGACTAAGTGTCTCAAGCGCATGAACCTCATGAAAGTAATGTGTCGTATGACGTTTGGAGCCGATAGAAGCACCCTGTTGAACCTTTATAGGGCTCTAATTCGATCAGTCATCGATTATGCTAGTCCTGTCTACGATAGTGCTCCTACATCTTCAAAGCAGGTTTTGGACACAATCCACCATACATGTGTTCGTATAGCCACTGGGGCGTTTCGTACGACCCGAACAAGAAACTTGCTGGTGGAAGCGAATGAACCGACCTTGCCTCTTAGGAGACAACGACTTACTTTGAATTACGCTACAAAGGTTTCACAATTTCCGGATCACCCAGCCTTTAAGTTCATCTTCTCTCAGACGTTGATTCGTTCTTTCTTGAGGGGGCGGCCCACGTCAGCGCGGCCGATGTGCCTGCGCGTCCGGGACTGCCTGGACGAGGCGGATATTACGCTGGATGACATTGCCCCGCACACTCTTCGGGACCCAGCTCCGTGGAGACGTCTGAGTATTAAGTATGATTTGGAACTCTGTCAGCATCTTAAAAATGGCACTTCACCACGAGAGTTCCTCACGTATTCGTTGGAACAGATCTCACAATACGTGAACTCATTACAAATGTTTACCGATGGGTCCAAGGGCTCAACAGGAACGGGTTGCGCATTTGTTTGCGGTGACCGTACCGTAGGTCTATGCCTCCCGCAGCACATGTCAGTTTTTTCCTCAGAATTGTTTGCCATTTTAGCAGCGCTTCAGTACGTTGCTTGTCGTCCTGAAAGGGATATAGTCATTTTGACCGACTCGCGTAGTGCACTTTTATCATTAGACCCGACGGCGATGTCGCGTGACCACTCATTTTTGACTCGCTCAATTTGGGAGGAATTGGAATGGCTGGACAGCACTTCCTGTCGTATCACATTTATGTGGATCCCCAGCCACATAGGAATAATGGGGAATGAAAAAGCCGACGCCGCAGCGAAAGCTGCGGCGTGTGAGAGAAGCCCAATACCAATTTATGTACCCGCTCGAGATCTGAAGTCAGTCATTTCCAAATACGTCCGCAATGCGTGGCAGCACATGTTCGACCAACACCTCCACGCTTTCAGGGAAATCAAGCCCCAACTGGGTGATTGGGAATCCTCCCATCGCTGAAGCCGCTTCCAGGAAGTCGCCCTTTGTAGGCTTCGGTTGGGTCATGCATACGCCACACACTCGTTTTACTTGACGCGTAGGGATGTGCCACGGTGTGATAGATGCGGGGACCGGTTGTCTGTTGAACATGTGCTCGTCTCATGTCGGCGCCTTGAGACGGAGAGGCGACGATTTTTTCCTCCAGCGCCCCTTCATCGGTTACTCGGTCGAGACCCATGTGGCGAACTTGGAGATATACTCGCATTTTTGGCACACATTGACTTTGACGTTATTTTCACTCACCCCTCAGTGTAAGTGCGCCAGTGATGCTACCTGTTATCAGTTGACAACATACTTATCACGTCGTCGCAGAGGTCGATAAACGTCATCGAGTGGGCGCAAAATGGCCCCGATGCCGACGCGCCCTTAAAACCCAAATCACCACCACCACCGGATGCACTGGACAACTTACGTAAGCTTGAACCTTTTTCGAAATGAGTAGCAGAAGTGAATTCAAACCTGCCTGCCGATGATCCTACTCAATTTTCAGGTTTCTTTTTGAAGCAGCGAGCCACAGCTTTACAGGACACCAGCATTAAGGGGATTATACAAGGAGCAAATACCAGTCGTCAAATAGCCCCAACAATCTGGGTTTACCTTGTTTGTCCTTATTTGATGAGACGGTCTCGATCTAGGTATCTTACACTGGGTACAAAGGAATTCCTGTAAATGGCGCCTCCAGCTCTCTTAATTTTCACTTTTCGGGGGTTCAGTTTTACCCCCTTCCCTCGCTCCTACCATCCGAGTACATCATATTCAGCTGGCTAGCCGGATGCGTGCTTAAAGTGTTACGTATGAACGTGGACCGTCCTGGGCCGTCTTCAACAAGATGACGTGGTCCGGCCAGTGGATGCAGGTCAAAATATGCTCCAACGAAATTCCTGGTTGCAAATCATTTGCGGCAGCAAACAGCCATTACGATCTAAAAATACCGCAGCACCAGACGTTCATCTTCAAGGAAACCGACGGCAACTGGTAATTAACAATCAATCACACGGGTCTCGATTAATCCATAAGGGTCACTGACACCAGACAAGTAGGTATTATATGAATCGTTGTGCTAGCCGGCCCGTCAGGTGGTGGGGTCCAGTGCCTCTCTGAAGCACAGCGTCATGGCCCGCTATCCGGCTCGCCCCTCGCCCGCCCCGCCCCCCCCCCCCCCCGCCCGACAACGGACAGGTTAATTGCTAAGTAACCGGGGCCATACAAGACGCAACTTGGTGATGGAAAAGTGCGTAACTCTGCTTGACATAAAACTGGATCCGTATAAAATTAATGGCATGCCAAATGGAGTTGCGAGTTTCGGTGGATAAGCACCTTCGCTCTCTTGTCCTTGCCTGTCATGAATGGCCACCTTTTTGGACTTTGGGATCCAGTTCTCGTCATTCCAATATGTCACTCTTTTCACTGTGAAACAGGGAGGGACATTGGTAAAGAAGGCATACATATGAATTCGCTATCGGAACTAGCCATGGAGAATCCTGTGAAGTCCGACACGAGGGCATCCGATTATGTCTGATTTTGGGCAGGACGTCTCACTCTCCCACTTGGGGTGGAACGTGTGTTCGCCCACACAATTTGCATGGAAATGGGTGTGTTGCAGGTCCATCCACCGTTTATCCCCAAAACAGTCCGATTACAGGGGCCTGCGTGTCTGCAGGTATTCCGGGAATCATGGTCCCTTCGGCGTAATTAAGGCGTTATCAAAGCCTACGCATGACTCGCCCGTTCTGCTGCCGTATCGCTTCGCGACGTCTCCTCTCAGTAGTGCGTTTCTTTGCGTTTGTATTGATACTTCCTACTGCGGATTGAGCGCGATACATCGAGCACATGAAACTGAAAGGCAGAGAGCAAGTTCCGGACTGCCGCACCAGGCAGGCAAATAGCATGTCACAATCAGCTGGGCGGCAGGAACGGAGGCATCGAAGTGACGGGCTGGAGTGGCAACGGTGAAAAACAGACGTGAACTAAACACAGCCACTCATATCGCCTTCAACTCCTGTGCATCGCGCCATTCTAGAGTTGGTAGAAGTCACCTTGCATTGGTGGGGCAAGAAGCTCTGTGCACCTTACGCGGCGGCGTCACCAGCTCACTGGAGCTTTTCCACCTTGCACATGATAGGGTGCGCGCCGATAAACAGCGTCGCCCCCGTGTAATATTTCAGTTTCGTCTCGGGCGTGGCCGTGAGGCGGTAGCGCTGCAGCAGGTAGGCCAGCAAGAACTTGCACTCCATCATGCCCAGCCGGCTGCCGATGCAGGCGCGCGGTCCCAGGCCGAACGGCATCCAGCTGTACTGGCCGAGCTGGCGGCCCTGCTCGCCCAGCCAGCGGTTGGGCAGGAAGCGCTCCGGCTCCGGGAACACCTCCGGGTCGCGGTGGTACGGCCACAGTGGCAGGATGACAGTCGTGCCCTTGGGGATGCGCAGGCCGTCGTACTCCCAGTCCGCGCGTGCAGAGTCGGAAGTGGCGCGAGATGAGCGGCGAAAGGCGCAGCGACTCCTGTATCGCGGCCTCCGTCACCGGCAGCCGCTGCAGCGCCTCGTACGTCAGCTCCACGCCGGCTGCCTCTTCGGCGATGCGGGCGGCGACGTCCGGGTTCTTGGCGAGGAAGTAGGAGGTGATGGTGAGCGTAGTGCCAATGGTGTCGTAGGCGGCCATCAGCATCTCGGCGCCCTGCAGCATGACGAGTTCTTCGGTGATGTTGAGCCTGCGACACTCGGGCGTCGGCACCTTCTTGTCGATGGCGTCCATCAGTGCGCCAATCAGGTCTGGGCGCTCGACGCCTTCGGCGCGCCGTTGCTTGATGGAGCTGCGCACCAGGTTCAGGAAGTACTTGAATGCGGGAACCAGCTCCCTGCCCATCATGTAGTTGGCGATGCTGGGGAACGAGGTCATCAGCGTTGTCATCCACGTGTCTGGGGTGTCTCCCTGGGCGCTGAAAGCCGATGCGTACTTGACGAACGTGCTACTTGTGTCTGCGACGTTGGGCACCTTGATGCCAAAGGAGAACTGGGCCATGATGTCCAGCGTCAGCGGGCCGAACAGGTCCTCTCGCATCGACAGCACTGGGGTCTGACGCATCTTCGCTTCCATTCTGTGGAATGCCTGCTGAGCGCACTCAACCATTGTGGGCATCATGGCCTTGAGCTTGACACCGGAGGCCAGCGCAGGAGCGAGCATGGACCTGAGCATCTTCCACTGCTCTCCCGGCTTCATGTCAAGCATGTCACGGCCGTACGGAATGTCGAACAGGATCGGCCGGTCGGGGAAGTGGTCAAAGTCTTTGATTAAGATCCGCTTGGCCAGCTCCGCGTCAGCCACAAACACCTGCGGCCACGGGCCTTCGTACACGCCCCAGACCTTGCCAAAGCGCTTGGCATTGCGCATGTCCTCCTGGTCGGTGGAGGTGCGGGCAGGGTACCGCACGCTGCCCACGAACGGGTACGGCTTGACGACGGGGATGCCGAGCTTCTCCAGCGTGCCGTAGTTGCGTGTACCATACTTGTACAGCAGAACCAGCAGCAGAACGACCAGCAGCACGGGCAGCAGCACGAGCTCCATGACTGCCGTCGCCTCCGCCCCGGAGAGCGCAGTCTGACCCGCTACCGACGGCGTCCGACGCCGGACGCGGACTGCCGGGCGGCGCGCGGGCGCGTTGGGACCGCCGCTCGCCACAAGGTCAAACGCATCAGGAACACTCAACAGTCCGACTTGTTGCATCGCTCATGGGCTGGCGGTTAGGAGCCGGGGTTCCTTACAGAGAGTGGTGCGTGGTCGCTCCACAAGACCCAGCGGCTGGTTTACGGTGTGTGTTGCGCCGCCTGTTTGCGGTGCACTCATGAGTGCCGGGTTAGTGAGCGATTTGCTGAATATCACTGTATCATGATGTTACTGGCGTACCCCTGAGGCCGCCCCTGCTCGCGCCGCCAGTGCTGCTGCACTTTGGTACGCCGCGGCCCCGAATGGCGGTGTACTGCCTGGGGCGCCACCCGCCGGAGTCAGCGCCGCCCGCTCGCTTCGCGGGATAATACAGTTGCCGTTTAGCAGCGCTCGTGTCTGGTCTGGGCAGACAACACGTAGACTTGAATATGGCGCAGCCGCATTGAACCTAGAGTAAGCTTAAGCAAGCATAAGCAGCACATTGATTTAAACAGTGTTAGTTGTGAACCAAGTCGAGATGCCTGGATTTCGTCCTCCTGAGGAATTCGACTTCACATCGCCTGAGAGATGGCCGACCTGGCGTGATCGGTTCGTCCGCTACAGACTGGCATCGGGACTACACAAAGAGGACGGTGACGTTCAAGTAGCTGCGTTGATTTACAGCATGGGTCCGCAGGCTGAGCATATCGTACCAATATTTAAGCTTACTGCTGAGCAGAAGGAGGATTTTGAAGTTGTTGTCTCAAAGCTAGACGGGTACTTCATTCCGAAAAGGAACTTTATTGCAGAGCGTCACGACTTCGAGCTTAGATCTCAAAGCTCAAGCGAGACTAATGAATCGTACATCAGAGCTTTGTTCTCTCTAGCTGAGCATTGCAGCTTCGCTGACGCTGATGAGCGTATCAGAGATCGTCTCATCTCAGGAATGTCTGACATGGAGCTGTCCCGTAGAATTCAGCTGAAGTCACTAGAGGAGGAAGTGTCTGCAAATACCGTCATTTCGATGATGCGTATTGTCGAGATCGTGAACGGCCGTGATAGCTCTGATCCGCCTGATATCAGTAGTGTTTGTGCACCGGCGCGGCACAGGCAGCCGCGCCAGCAGCGCCAGCAGTACAGACGTCAACCGCAGCCTTCCACCGCGCAACGGCAACAGCATAGTCAGCGTACCGACTTTTCAACAACATGCAGATACTGTGGAAGAGCACGTCATGCGTCTCCGAAAGATTGTCCTGCTAAGGGAAAAATATGTGACAACTGTCAGAAAATGGATCATTTTGCGTATGTTTGTCGCTCCAACGGTGTCAGAGTGAGTGCGCGGACAGAGTCCACTAAAGAACTATCGCCGCCCAACATTTTTGTTGACGAAGCAGACAAAGCTTGCGCGCCATGGAGAGTTTTAGTCCTTCTAAATGGTCAACGAGTCGCTTTTAAAGCTGACTCTGGCGCTGATGTTAGCATTCTGACGCTGAAAACGTACAAGAAGCTGAAACTGCCGCCGCTTCAACATGCCTCAAATACTCTGACAAGTGTTGGTAGCGTGCTAAAAGTAGAAGGAAAGATGCACGGAACACTCCTGTTCAAGAACAAAGCCGAGCCTGAAGTATTCTACGTTGTTGACTCAGCTAATGATCTCCTCTCCAGGTCTGCTTGCTCGCGCCTGGGCGTACTGAGATTCACAGGTGAAGTCAACGAAGACGTCTTCGGAGAGGCAGGTCTCCTGAAGACAGCACCGGTCAGCATTCAGCTCCGTGAAGATGCTGTTCCATTCGCCCTTGCCACTGCAAGAAATATCCCGCTGCCACTGATGAAGCCGGTGGAAGAGGAGCTGAAGAAGATGGAGCATCACGGCATCATCACGTCGGAAACCGAGCCAACGGACTGGGTCTCTGCGCTGGTCCCCGTCCCGAAGCCGAAGAGCAGCGGTGTCCGCATCACGGTTGACTACAAGGGACTCAACCAGTCTGTGAAGCGACAGGTGTTCCCGATCCCTACTCTGGAGCAGCTGACCTCCAAGCTGAGTGGCGCGACGCTCTTCACCAAGCTGGACGCCTCTTCCGATTTCTACCAGATCCCGCTGGACGAGGCGAGCTCCAAGATGACCACGTTCATCACTCCGTTCGGCAGGAAGAGGTTCCTGCGACTGCCGATGGGGATCTCGCTCGCACCGGGGTGCTTCCAGCGGAAGATGGAGGAGATGCTGGACGGACTGCCCGGAGTCATCGTCTACATGGACGACACCGTGGTGTTCGGAGATGCTGCCAGCCACGATGCACGTCTCGAGGCCGTCATCAGGAGGATCCACGAGTCTGGCCTCAAGCTGAACAGGAAAAAGTGTGAGTTCCGGAAGAACGAGGTCAAGTTTTTGGGGATGAAGATCAGCAAGAACGGCATCAGCATGGACGAAGAGAAGCTCGAAGCGATCCAGCAGCTCCAACCACCAAAGAATGTCAATGAACTAAGGTCTCTGCTCGGAGTAATCAACTTCCTGGGCCGGTTCGTTCCACACATCCAGGAGTGTTTAAGACCACTGAACGAGCTTCTGAGGAAGAACGTAGCATGGATCTGGACACCACAGCAGCAGCAGGCGCTGGATGACGTGAAAGCAGCCGTCACTTCAGCTCCAGCTCTGGCGTTCTACGATCCAGCACGAGAGACGGTGGTCAGCGCCGACGCCAGCAGTTTCGGCATCGGAGGATGTGTTCTCCTGAAGTACAGCTCCGTCTTCAAACCCGTCGCGTTCTGCAGCAGAAGCCTGACTGACCCAGAGACCAGATGGGCCCAGATTGAGAAGGAACTACTCTCCGCGACGTGGACGTGCGAGAAAATGCACATGTTCCTGTCCGGACTGCCGTCGTTCGAGCTGCATCTGGACCACAAGCCTCTGATCCCGCTGGTTAACACGAAAAATCTCGTGGATGCGCCCATCAGATGCCAGCGCATGCTCATGCACTTGATGCGATACAACCCCACAGCGGTCTTCGTTCCAGGAAAGCAGCACCTGGTGCCCGACTTCCTCTCACGTCACCCGCTCCAGAAGCAGGATGAAATCAGCGCTGTGCTTCAAGAAGACATACATGGATTCTGTGAGAGAATCTTCAGCGATCTTCCCGCCACACCGCAGCGTCTGGTGGAGATCAGCAAGGCGCAGCAAGCAGACGAACCCCTACAACGCGTAGTTCAGCAGACTCTCTCTGGCTGGAAGGAGGGAGCGAAGCATCCCGACCTGCTGGACTACTTCGCCTCTCGGGGAGAGATGAGCGTTCTGTACCTAACGTGTGGTACACTGCTGATGCACGGGCGACGCATCGTCATCCCTCCGAGTCTGCGAGATGAAATGCTCACCCGACTACATGATGACGGACACTTCGGTCTGAACAAGTGTAGCCAGAGGGCAGCAGAATCGATCTGGTGGCCTCAACTCAGCATCGACCTGAAGCGTCATCTCGAGAGCTGCTCGTTCTGTCAGGTGAACGCGCCAGCCCAGCACGCTGAGCCACTGGTGACAACCCCAACGCCATCAAGACCGTGGACGCACGTTGCAGCAGACGTCTTCCACTTCAACAACTGCAACTGGCTCGTCACGGTGGACATCTTCAGCAGGTATCTGGAGATACAACGCCTCCCGAGTCTCACCAGCAGCACAGTCATCGAGCGTCTGAAGCGCCTGTTTTCCCGCTTGGGGATACCAGACCTCGTGACAACAGACGGAGGAACGCAGTTCACTTCAAGCTCGTTCGCCAACTTCACAGCGTCCTACGGCTTTACAAACCGCATCACAGACCCGCACACGCCGTCTTCCAACGGAGCAGCTGAACGGGCCGTGAGAACCGCCAAGTGGATACTTCGCCAGAGGGACCCCCACCTCGCCCTCCTCAACTACCGCACGACGCCTGTGGAAGCAACCGGATACTCTCCAGCCCGTCTCCTGATGGGACGCGAACTTCAATCTCGTCTCCCCATCGCTCAGCCAACCGGAGAAGCGACATGGCATCATGCCAAACTCCGAGATCGGCAGAGGAAGAAGAAGCTGGAGACATGCTTCAACCGGAGACACGGTGCCCGCGATCTTCAGCAGCTACAGCCCGGGGATCATGTTCGGATCAAGACGGAGAAGGAAGCAAGCTGGTCCGAGCCCGCCACCGTCATAGAGAAGCTCTCTAGACGCAGCTACCTTGTGGAGCTCAAGGGTGCTCGCTATCGTCGCAACCGACGTCATCTGATGCAGATCCCTCCGTTCCAGGTGTTGACACAGCACGGTTCCGCGCGGCGTGCTGACTGTTCTGCACACAGGGTGTCCGCTCCAGACCTCCTCTCTGGCCGCCATGCTGAGGTGGCGCCACCGGCGCTGCTGCAACCGCAGCCGCGCGAACCGGCGCCTGCACCACGATCGGTAGTGCCACGGCTACCACCAGCTGTGCCGTCGCCCGCGTCGAAAGCGGCGCCGCCGCCGTCGCTGCCGCCGCTGACAGAAGCTGCGGCCCAGCCCTGCAACGCGCAAGTGCCCCAGACACAAGACCCAACGCCACTGCTTAGTTTTAGTCCGCGTAAAACACGCAGTGGCCGCGTTTTCTGAGAGGCATCAAAGAGAAGCAGCAGGAAAGCAGATGGGAAGCAGCAGGAAAGCAGTAGAGAAGCAGTCTGAGAAGCAGAAGGGAAGCAGCAGCCTCAGAAGCAGCATAGCAGCAGCAGGGAAGCAGCAGGGAAGCAGCAGTCTGTCGCCAATAATTTCGTTTCGCAAGCGTTTTTTATATCGCAAGCGCCTCCACCCATTGCTGTTCCCGCCCGATCCAGGGTCTGTTTGGACGGGCCGCCGCTCAGCGGAGCCGGCGCGCGTGATTGGCTCTTGGCCATGGCCCGTCATACCGATCAATGAAGAGATTCTACCAGTCACCAGCGACGAGGCCGACCAATGAAAAGATTCGGTCAGTCACCAGCGACGAGACGAGGCCGAGAAGA